TCTCCCTGTGTTTCTCTAGCTGGCTTGGAACTCACCATGTAAACCAGGCTGATCTCAAACTCAGAGAGTGCCACCAACCTTGAAATAACCTATTTAAAAATTACATTTATTTTAAAATATTTTATTATTTTTATTTTATGCGTATGAGTGTGTTGCTTGCATGTAAGTGCATCTGTGTCATGCAATGACAGCGGAGGTCAGAAGAGGGTGTCGGATACCCTGTAACTTGAGTTCCAGATGGTTATTAGCTATCATGTGGGTGCTGGGAACCAAACCCAGGTCCTCTGCAAGACCAGCCAGTGCTCTAAACCACTGGCCATCTCTCCAGCCCTCCTCTCAAATTATTTTTATTTTTAATTGCATATGTATGTATGTATAAGTACCCTATTTAAAAATATTTGCTTTTTAATGTGTGTGTGTGTGTGTGTGTGTGTGTGTGTGTGTGTGTGTCTGTGCACACGTGCACATGAGTGCAGTGCTGGTGGCAGCCAGAAAAGAGCATTGTACCCCTGGAGCTGGAGTTACAGGTGGTTGGGAGAGGCCCAGTGTGGGTACTGGGAACTAAACTCAGGTCTTTTGCAAGAGCAGCTGGCACTCTTAACTGCTGAGCCATCTCTTCAGTCCCAAATACCCTATTTTTAGTCATTCATTAAAATGTGATCAATCAGTACAGGAATCTGCAATTGCACGCGATTTGGTTACTCTTTGGTTAGCCTACAAAACAGCAGTGGGCACTATTAAGATACAAAGCTCTTTAGTTACCGACTCTGTTATGTATTAGATTTAAGTTGCTTATTTTTTATTTTTAATATTTTATTTACTATTTTTATTTTATGTGTATGAGTGTATCGCCTGCATGTATGTGAGTGCACCCATGTCATGCAATGGAAGAGGGCTTCGGATTCCCCTTGAACTGGAGTTAAGGACAGTTAGTAGCTGCCATGTGGGTGCTGGGAATCAAACCCGGGTCCTCTGCAAGAGCAGTCAGTGCGCTTAACTGCGGAGCCATCTCTCCAGCCCCAAGTTGCTTATTTTTAAAGATAAATTACCCTAATCAATGAGATATGTTGAAATAGCATGTAAATAGTAGAGCCATGTGGCTTTTCAGGTGAGGTTCCTCATCTGATCCATGCAACACACCATTTAAACGATTATTTTCTCAACTGAATATTGTTCAGTTGTGTGTTTCAGAGATGTGTGTTTGAGATTGGGTGTGCCCTACCCTATAGCATGTGTGGAGGTCAGAGGGCAACTTCCAGGAATCTGACCTTCCACTTTCTTGAGGCAGGGTCGTTCTTGTTTCTGCTACCCCATACTGAGTACTCCAGACTAGCTGGCTTCCAGAAGGTTCTCTTGTCTCTGCCTCCCATTTTGCCACTGGGGTTACAGATGCAGGGCACTGCATCCAGCTCTTCAATGGCTCCAATCGAACCTGGGTAGTGCTTTACCACTCAGCTGTTTCTCTAACAAGGGCCCTTCCTCAATGTTTTTTTCTTTCTTTTTTTAAGATAACTAATACCTTTTCAGTTGTCTAAAAAGTGAGTTCATAACATACAACAGTACCTTAGGCTGAACATTACTAAAACACATAGTTGGGAAAGTAACTCCACATATATGAGTTTTAGATGGGAATAATAATAAAATTAAATTTGGAAGGATATTCTTAAAGTTTAGTGATGCCTAACAGAGGAAAAATACCACTTCAAAATATAACAAATAAGCTACTGGAAAGTTCCAATAGCAAAGTTGGACTAAACAACTTCTTCAGTTCTTTTCCATTTGATCTGCTATACTTAAAAAAATTAAACTTGAGTCAGTGATGATGCGCACCTGTGATTCCAGCACTTGGAAGGTGGAGGCAAATAAAACAAAACAAAAACCAAACTGAAAGAACCCAACCAATCAAATAAAAACAAATAACAAACAAACAAGAAACAAAACAAACCCACAAAACATTAAAAATCCCCAAACCCACAATGAGAGAGAAAGTTGTGAAGTTCAATTTTCCCCTTATAAAGTTATACTTTGACAATGACTTAGCTAACTAAAATATAGGACAGTAACTAGAAACTGTGCACTTCTAAATATCATTATTGAAACTGTTTAATATTAGTGTAAGGTATTAGTTACTTAGAATTTAGTTCTAAAGAAAAAAGCTAGCTATCTGGGGGTAACTCAGTGATGGAATTCGTGCTCGGCAAGGCAACATCCTTGGTTGTTTCCAAATAAGAGTATTTTAGACCAACTCTAGATAACAGTTTTTAGATTTTACATTCCCAAAGTACAGGCAAAAAATGTCTGTTAAAGTTACTTATTAAACATCCCCTATTCTCTCAAAATAGGGGGTGAATGAAGCTGCTGCTTTCTGGTAGTTACTAGGGACTGAACCCCGGGCTCTGCATGCCGACCAAGCACTCTATTACTACCCCCCCCACATGGAATGAGTCTACTTCAGTGTTTTAAAAACTAAAAGCTTACTAATAAATGTTGCTTCTTGATAATTCATTAGTCACCTGAAGTTTGGCAGCTCCGCCTTTAATAAGACCACAGATAATTTCTTCTACTCTTGTAGGGTTCTTGATACGAACAGAACTTTTCTGGAATTCTGGCATCTGAAAAGTGAACAGAAATGAACTACTTTCAGTTACTCCTCTACCAGGTTCCTTCCATACCAAGGAGGAGCTTACACAAAAATCATGAAAATTTTGAGACCTTATCAGATGATTATTTATACACACAAAAATATTTGAAGCACCTAACTATTTCCATCTAGAAAATTAAGAAAAAGATTATACAGTGGCAGCACAAACTTGTAATCCTAGCATGCTTGGAGGCCGAGGAAGGAGGAACTTGACTTTAAGGCCAGCTGGGGCTGCACGGCAAAAGCCTGTCTCACATTCCATGCCTCACATATAGAAAACCCCTATATATTTATGGTTCATTTACTTTGTATAATTCTTCTTATATAATTATATAAGTAATGTGGCTCACCAAAAATTATATAAAAATAACACAAAATAAAACGGTCATTAATCAAAACAGAATCCAAGAGACTGTATCTTAATTTTGTGACAGAATTATTTCTTTTCTTTTTGGTCTTTTGGAGACAGGGTCTCCCAGCCCCAGCTGGCCTGGGACTCACAGAGATCTGCGTGCCTCTGCCTCCTGAGTGCTGGGATGCAAGGCGTGTGCCACCATGCCCGGGATGACAGAATTATTTCTTCTAAGGAACTTTTTGCCTAAAGTTTAATTTGTGGAGCAGTGGGATGCAGCTTAAATGGCAGAGCTCTTCTCTAGCATGTGCAAGGCCCTGGTAGCACTAAAAAGGAAAAGAAAAAGAGAAAAAGAAAGAAAGAAAAGAAAGGAAAAGGAAAGAAAAAGAAAGAAAGGAGAAAGAAAGAAAGAAAGATTTAACTTAACATGTGCTGGCCCATGGTGGTACACACCTTTGATCCCAGCAGTCACTTGGGAGGCAGAAGCTAGCGATCTCTGAGTTTGAGGCCAGGAAGATCTACATAGCAAGTTTCAGGGCAGCCAGGGCTGTACAGTGAGAACTTTGTCTCAGAAAAAAAAACACCAAACCAAACAACCCACTAAAAAACAAACAACAAAAATACCACACTGGGGCTTCCTGAGAGGCCTAACTGCTCAGAAGGTGGTGGTGGGTCACTTGAGCTCAGGAGTTTGAGGCTGGCCCTGACAACATGGAGAAATCTCAAGTTTTTAAAATTAATTTAACTAAAATGAAGTTAAGTCAATTAAAACGTAAGTTAATCTTATGTTTTGAGATCATTTAAAATTATCTATTCAATATGCTTTTCTATTGTTTAACCAATCAGCTTATTTAAATCTAGTTAGCTTTATAGACCTGCTTTGTTCAGGCACTGCCTGCCATACTGTGGCATGGCCACAGATAGCATTGATTCTTTCCTTGTACCATATCCCAAATGAGTTATTAATTGTTCTTAGCATAAGAACAGACCTTTTCAAGGTATGATAACTTCTAGAAAGTCCCTAGACGTGGGCTGCTCTGGACTAGGTCATGGAGAGCTTTAGCGTTGCTCAACAACTTTGTTAGGTATCGTTTCTTGTTTGACTTCTACCAAAAGTAGATAGAAACTGACCAGAGGACTATGAGTTCAGGAAGCATGGCACTTGCATGGTAGTGGACAGAATATGGGCATGAGGAGATTACAGATCGTTTTATACTCTATCATGATGTACAAAAGCAACAGCATCTCGTTATAGCTCTATATGATTGCACTAGAAACTGGTTTGCCCTCCTCCCTCCTCCCCCCTTCCTCTATCATCAATATTACTATATCTCATAAAAATTCCTTAGATATAATGTCTGTTTCAAGAGACTCTCACTAGATTAAATGTCTATTAGTTCCCATGTTGTTCCTATCAGAGTTAAAAAAATGAATTAAGAAAAGGCCAGACCATTTTCCAAAGACTGGAAGATGATAACAGAAGTGTGTAGGAAAGGGTAGTACCGTGAAATTTTCTTATGAAAGTCCTATATTTAATTTGGCTTTTATTTTTTGGTAGGGGAAGTGCAGGGAGTTAAATCCAAGACCTTGAATGTATGAGCTCCATCACTAACTATATCCCTAGCCCTACACGCTTAGTTTTAAGAGCCGTATTTTTTTTTTTTGTCTTTTTGAGACAGGGTCTCCCTGTAGCCCCAGCTGTCCTGGATTCACCATGGAGAACAAAGGCGTGCACCACCATGCCCGGCAAAAGCCATATTTTAAAACAAAGACAGGACTACTTGCAATGCAACCAAACTTTGACACTGTGATGCTTTTAACTTAACTAGACCTGGAATCTCAGTGGGGCCGGAAGGGAGATGGCTCAGCTGATAAAGGGCTTTCTGGACAATATGAAGTCCTGAGTTGGGATTCCTGTGCTCGCTGGTCAGCGAGTCTAGCCAAATCAGAGAGAGTTGGGTTCAAAGAGACCCTGTTCCAAAGATTAGGTAAGAGCAATGGAGGAAAACGCCTGAGGCTGCCTTCTGGCCTCCACATGCATGAACACACATGAACACACACATATACCACACGCACATAATGCCCCAAATTAAAAGTTTTATAATGGGTTAAAGGTTACTGAAATATGTATTTAATAACAATTTTTCAATAGGTAAGTCAAACAGATATTAATTGCCATATACCTATCTTCTCTCATACGCTCTCATCAAAAATACTGTGTGTCTACTTAGGGCCAGACACTCCTGCTAGAGGCTAGAGGGGCGATGTGAACCAGTGCTCTCTTGCTGAATATTAAGGGCCACTGAAGCTTTGAAGCACCCTTTCTACAACATCCTTACAAACAGCTTAGCTGGGAAAAGCACATACTTGGTTCAATAACCAACCCATGGGTGCTAGAGATATGGCTCAGCAGTTGAGAGCGCTTGCTGCTCTTACAGAAGACCCGAGTTCAGTTCCCAGCAGCCATGCCTGGCAGCTCACAACCACCTGTAACTCCAGCTCCAGTGGATCCAACACCTTCTGGCCTCTGTGGCATTTACCTGTACATACCCTTCTTTAAAGAAGCCTAACTCATTATAGTGAGAGCAACAAAGGATTACATCACTAACAACGTTCTCACCCACAGTACGGAGTATTTTATTTCTTACTGAGTAAAATGTCTTGCCTCAAGCAAACCATACTCTCAAGGTTCAGATAATGAAAGCATAGCACCAAGGCCTCCTGGTGGCTCCCATCAACCACCTTGATTCTCACCAGTAGTTCTTCTACGTTTTATGTTATGGCTTATTATATGTTCTTTTTACTACCAATTATGAGAAATTTGAGTCCCTTTCTTTCTTAAAAAATAATTTTTTATTGAATTTTTTGAATTTCAGACCCTCTCCCCTATCTGTACCCCTCTTGTAGCCCCCTTACCGGGTTTCATATACTCAGTCATATATGTTAAGGCCTACTGAGCCAAGTTTTTGTCCCCAAATATCCTTCGGTGTGTATCTAACCACTGGAGCCTGGTTAACCTGTCTAGTGCCACACCCCTGGAGAAAACCAACTCCCCCTCTCCCAGTAGTTATCGGTTGCTGACAGTTCCTCAGCGAAGGCTGGGGCTTCTTACCCACTTCCCCACCACTATGGTGGGATTCTGTCTGGCTTGAGCTTCCCTTATTTACTTTCAATAATAAGCAAATTGAAAAGTCTGCTGACAGCTCAACTTGTTCTTTAAAATTTTCAAAGGCTAGTTTCTGTGTGAATAACAATTATAATATTTTTTACAATATATATTTTTATTCAAATTTTGGCATTTCATACAATATATCTTAATCACATTTATCATATTTACCTCCTCCCTTATCTGGATTTCATGCATTCTGTCATATATGCTGATCACTACATACAAATGAGAAGCAATGCGGCATCTGTGGCTTTGCCTCTAGAACAGACAAGCACTTGTTCCAGTAAATATGCAGTGCATACCCAAGGCACTCTGGAGGGCATAAGGACTGAAGAGGACAGAAGAAAGGGCGTGCAGTTACTTTCTTCTCCAGGGAACACAATGGGGTGGATGACACAGGTGTAAGAAATACAAGGACTGGGCCGAGGCTCACTGTAGAGTACTAGCCTAGCATCTGTAAGGACCAAATTCAACTGTAGCAAAGGAAGAAAGGAAGATGCACAGAGAGACTAAATGATCTGTACGTATACTATGGTTTTGCTGAAACATACATACACTGTCACTGAAACAGTTCTCAGGAACTTAAGACACCGGGAATTTACTCATATTTAGAATGTAGCCTAAACTAGGAAACAGAACCAAAAGCTTCAGTACAAAACATGTCAAAGAGGCTGGTGGTGGCGCTACATACCTGTAAGTCAGAACTTGTGAAGCAGAGGCAGGAGGATGACAGTTCAAGGCTAGCCTTAGCTATATAGCAAGACTCTGTCCTTAGTACTCAGGAAGTGGAGGCAGGAGGATTAGGAATTGGAGGTAAGCCTCAGCTACACGAGATCATAAGACCCTGTCTAAAAAGCAAGCAAGCAAACACAAAATCACAGCAGTACACTTCAGGAATATGAAGAAATAATTTATTTCCTTTTTCCTTTTTGAAACAGGGTCTTGCTATGTAGCCCAGGATGCCTTAAAAGTCTTGACTCTCTTGTCTCAGTTTCCCAAGTGCTGTGATTAAAGGAGTGTACCATAATGCCTAGATTGGATTAAAAAAAAAGATCTGGTAGTCGTGGTGGACACATTTAATCCCAGCTCTTGGGAGACAGAGGCAGATGGATCTCTGAGTTCAAGGCCAGCCTAGTCTACATAGTGAATTCCAGGCCAGCTGGGACTACAGGGAGACCCTTTCTCAAAAAGACCACACACACAAAAAAAGATCTGGTTTGGTGATACATAAAATAATCATACTCACTCATCAAAGAAGCTTCTTTTGAAACAAACAAGAGTTCCACAACTGGTCACAAAGAGAATAAGTATCTGTGAAATGCCCGACCCTAAGTGACACATCTACAATGGAACATCTATACCTAAAGCTCATGGAACACAGTGGAACGGGGTAGAGAGAACACTAATGCATTTCTCAACTCTCATCAACGAAGCTCCCTCATGCAGCGGA